ACACACACACACACACACACACACACACACACACACACACACACACAATATGTCTCTGTCCCCATAGCGTAATTTTTCCAGGAGAAAAGCAACTTAGAAGGCACAGAAGACAATGATATCAAGATAGCAATTATAAATATATTCAAGTGCCTCAAAGAAGATATGAATAAATGTCAGAATGAAGACCAAAAAACAGTTGAAAGAAATAAGAAATTTGATAAAGAGGATTTAAAAAAAAGTCTAAACTGAATAAACTTGAAATAAAAAAAAATTGTGAACCAAATACAAGTTAAAGTTGTCTTTAGGTATAAAGATTTCAGGCCAGTAGCTCTCAGTTCCCCAGGAGATAATGAGTAGCAGGAGAGAAGATAGAGAAGACATCACAGGGACTGATGGAGACAGGTCTGGAATGAGGATAAGCACTCTCCCTCAGCAGCTGGCAGAGAACACAAACCTACACAGAAACCCAGGTGAGAATGTGGGTGAATCAGTAACCCTGAATATGAGAATGAAACCTTAATGCTAGAAGGAGACAGTAAATAATACGCCCCGATTGGAAAAATCCACATATTGCAGTAGGGCTACTGGTATGGCTCATTGCTAAGTACTAGCCTGACATTCAGGTCAATATCCAGGCTTCTCCAGGCATACCTCCCAAACTTCAGTGTAGGTGAAAACAGAGGGAGAAGCAGTAACCAGACATGGGGACCAGGAAGAAGGTGACATGAGGGACTTAGTGTTTTCTCATGAGCTTTACAGACTTACTTGACTTTTAAACTACAGGCATATATTACTTAGGTTAAAAGTCAACAATTTTTAATGGTGTTATGAGACAAAGAACTCTAAACCCCTGGGAATGTTTTGTCTCTCCAGGGTCAAGCCCAGGGACAGTGGCAGAAGGAGACGACGAATCCAGTGCCTATCCGAAAGGGTGCGGTGTTGGCCTACAAGAAGAAGCAACTGGTCATTGAGAATAACACTTGTGGTGAGCAAAAGTGGGAGCCAGGTGGGGTTAGGGTGTCCCAAGACCTGAACATCCTCTTCTCTGCTGACTATAGACCAGGAACACTTGTCACTGTCCCAGGCACATGTCCCACCATCCTCAGTCACCTCTAAGCATGGCCAAGCTCAGACACTGCTAGCTCTAGATGCAGAGATGGCCTCGTGCACGGGAAGGGATCTGACCTGGTGGCCTCAAATGCAGGTGTCTTTTGCTGGGTGAAATCCAGGCTAATCCATCCATCTCTAGTCATTCATCTCTAGCCCTTCAAGGTGCTGTCACCCTCAGAAGCTCAGTAAAGAGCCACCAAATTGATCAGGGAACCTTTAAGCCCACATAAAAATCTCTATAATATAACAGAAGTATAACACAACTGAAACTGTAGCCAGAATGCCTGAACAACATAGCACAGAAGTTTTTCTAAGACTCTCACCTTGAAATGAACCATCCCTCAACACACACACCACGCACCACACACACACACACACACACACACACACACACACACACACACACACAAACACCCATGGGTTCAGACTCTGCCATGGGGCAGAAGTGCCCATGTTAGGAGTGAACTGTGTGTGATGTGAGTACCAGTTTATAAGTAGGTCTCAGAGCCCCAAGCACCTCCTCAATGTGGAGGTCAGCTCCTCAAAGAGGTGGGGATGCCCTCAGACACACACACACACACACACACACACACACACACACACACACACACACACACACAGAGACACACACATGCATACATATGTACAGTGTACACACATGTGCACACACATACACACACAAACTTTCTGCAGTATCTACCTCGTTCTGGTCAAGGCAAAATCCTGGAGTCAATCCTCTAGTCAGTGACAACAGACCAGGAAGCTGGACTCTCAATATTGTACAGTGGACAGTGGCTTCTAAAGAAATTGTCCACACTCTTATGACATCCTTGGTTGAGTCATAGGGTGAGGGATGGGGAAAAGGTTGGGGATGCCTTTGAAATGCCTGGGGGAGATGGCCTTACTGCTACAGGTCGTGGTAAATCAAAAGTGCTTTCATTACAGAGGGGAAAGAAAATGAACCCTTTACTAAAAATATCAACAGCAACCAAACAGAGAAACAAAATAAACGATCTGGTTAGATCAGATGTGCCCAGAGAACCAAGGGCATGTTTATGGAGCCTGAATCCAGGGGAGTTCCCTGGAGGATAAACTGTAAAGGTTGAGGTGCACATGGAAGGAGAGGAAGTGAGGTTCCATGTACAGGACTCTTAGGGGAGCTGACTGAGGGGGAACTTGGATGAGAGGAGATGATAATGGGAGAGGACTCTGGGGTGAGGAGTTCTGGAGGTGCAGAGCCCCGTAGTTGTCAGGTCAGGCAAAGTTCTTGGTGAAGCAGTAAAGACAGGTTGGGGCTGGAGGCATTGGGGGCCACTTACCTCTACCTCCTTCATGTCAGCTTGGGAGAAAAGTGTTATTTCCCTCTTACATGTGAGAAGGTCAGTTTTCTCTGAATGCTGGCCAGCGATATAGCAATAATTAAGTCCTTTTTGATCTGTTATGAGAACTAAAGTGCTGCTTGCCAGTCAGCGCATTGTCCTGGTTGGTTCCCTTCTTGCCTTGCCTGACTGTATAAACAACATACCCATCTACCCCCTAGTGCTCAGAATATGACTTGTACCAAGCCTCATAGTATATACAAGCTGCCCCCTTGTGCTCAGAATGTGACTTGCAGACACTCTTTGAAGTGCCTCCCTTTAGTTCACAAGTTAAATGCTGTCATTATTTTTCTCCACAGGCTCATTTCACGTGTCAGGTGCTTGAATTTTGTTGTTGGGCAAGTTTCAGACCTCAGCACGACGCCATAAATTCAATAATGTAAAACAATGCAATATCACCAGAATGAGAGTGGATAAGCAAGGGCCAGCTAGTAACAGAAGGCTAACAAGAAGCCTGTATGACAGGCAGGAGGAATCTAGTCTGCTTTACCTCATGGAGTATTTATGTGTTTATTTTTGTTTTATGTGTATTTGTGTTTTGCCTGTGTGTAAGCACACCATGTGCATGCAGTGCCGATGAGGCCAGAAAAGGATGCAGCCATGTGGTCCTTTGAAAAAGTGTCACTGGCTCTTAACTGTCGATTATCTCTCCAGCCCTCGTGGGATATGACAGAGGGTGTAATGGTCACTTAGAGTGCTTATTTAAAATGCAAGCTTCAGGCTGCTGAGATGGATTCGCTGGTGAAATGCTTGCTGCCAGGCCTGATGACTTGAGTTCCACCTCCAGGTCCCACACGTTGAAGGAGATAACTGACTTCCAAAGTTGTCCCCTGGCATCCGTATCTGCTCCATGGCATGCACACACAAAATAAATAAACAAATAAAATAAAATGTAATTTTCAGGGTTCCTGTGAAAGGATCCAATTCACAGGTCACACAGGCAAATGCTCAGGTTGACTGACATTTCTGGTATTTGGCCTGATTTTCCCTAAATTGGGTGTGGGACAAACTCTAGCATGTGTTGCCTCACGTCTCCTAACTGAGTTTCTTTTCCATTCAGCCATTCTCCTTTCTGCTAATGCTAAGAAGAAGACATTCCTAGAAATGCTTAATATGCAACCTAGAAGTGCTATCCTTGCCCAACCCATGAGAATGAAGGCAGAAGAACTAAGCATTGAGATAGGTATGAGTTTGTTGAACAGGGATCTACCTGGGGATGGATTCATCACTGGATTTTCTCATAAAAGTAGAATTTGCAAGGTGAAAAGCAAGGGTGGATGGAGGAATTAGAAAGGCCAGAGGTCAGGGGAGGGGTGGAGAGAGTGAGTCTTGGTGAGTAAACGCTCCACTTTCTCTTTCCAGAGGCATATCCAACAAGACGGCTAGGTGAGTGAATCATTCTGGAGCTATGAAAGTCCAACCTGCTTCCTCATGCAAACAACTGAATAACAAAACCCACCTGACTGTCTTTGCCCAGGCTCTTGAGATCTGGTCTTTAGTACACGGGGTGGGGTGGGGGAGGGATAGGAAAATGGGGGGATGGATATAGGGGACCTAAGTACAAATGATGATTCTTGGGTGGTTATTATCTCTTTCTAGGCTTGTGGATCAATAACATCTCTCCGATTGGTGAGTGTGTCTGCTGGGGCTGGGGTAGAGATCCAGGTGATGCTACCACCGTGCTCAGCCCTGTCCTGGCTCCGGCTCCTGAGTGATGGGAAAGGTCATGGAAAGCCAGTGGGGTGAAAGCACAGACTGGGATAAGTGGGGCAGGTGGAAGAGAGGGTGGGAGGGACCCTCCAGTGTGTCCCAAGAGCAAACTGAGGCCGAAGGAGATTGATAGCTTATGCTTCTCTTTCTAGGAAGGATAGAGGAACCCTACCATCAAGGTGAGTGTTCTGGGTTTTGTTTGTTTCTCTCTATCTCTGGGCTTCTGGTGGGAAACCACAGACTCAGAACTCAAATTAGAACCTTCTTGAAAACTGAGCTCTAATTCCCCGTTTCTTTTGAAGTTAGTTCCACTCACACGTGCACAACTGTGTGTATTGATGTTCACTGAAGATAAACTGGGAAGCAGGCATCACTCCAGCATGGGCAATGGGAAAGAATCAGACATAAGTGCTTTACAGCTTCCATTGTGGTCTCCTCTTGCTGTCACAGATCACCCATAGGTCACCTGGCAGAGCCAGAATGTCCTCAAATGCAGTTCTTGGCTAACTCTTCATAAACCTTGGAGATACTTATCAACTGGTGCAGTTCACATAAGTACCAGGAGCCTGAGAGACACAAACTCATTGACTCCTCACCACATCCCCATTTATCACACATGGAAATGGATCCTGGAACACTGAAGATTGTCATCTCTAGAGCCTAACAGTACATTTAATCCCTGAAATGTCCCAGAAATGAGCACTTGGTCATTTTTCTCCCACTTTCGAAAACCAGTTTTCAGATGTCCATTTCCACTCCTAGCACTGTGTCCCCTCCTTCCAGGGTGCTGAATCTACCTGCTTTCTAGCTTCATGATAGTTGCCTCACTAGGGCTCAAGCAGGCCATCAGTGGGGACATTTTTTGCCACTGGAAATGGTGCTGAAGGACTTAGCATCTCGGGGATATTGAACTGAAGAATTTCCCTCACTTTCTGATTGGTGTTGCTGTGTGTGAGCAGATTTCAATCGCCTACAAGATGAGGTTTCCCTGCAAATAGAGCAACTTGCCCTGCTCTCAAAGGATGTTCAAGATGTTGTGTTCTCCAGTCTCCTGCCCATGCTGAGGAACAGGGAGGTCCTGCATGACTTGATGAACATGGTGAGAATTGCTTAGCTGCCCAGAGATGATCAAACCCATAAGCATCATCTGGGGAGATGGGGATGCCAAGATATATGAGGGAGGAGGAATGTGCATGGTGCCCAGGAGATTGAGAAAATGTCAAAGATTGGGGATTCTGGATCATGCAATATTGAGGGATAGAGAGTGTGGCTCTTTAATTTTTCTCAGAATCCCCCTGGTGGGGTAGACCCTATAGTCTGCACCTTGCTTAAATCCTCTGGACGTAGGCACATTCACAAGAGTGGTTTTGAGCCAGACATGGGAAGCTGAAGCTACTTGAAGAAGGGTTGCAAGTTCAAGCCCTTTCTGGGCTACAAAGCAAGTTCAAAGCTGGCTTGGGGAACAGCCTCAGACCTTGTCACACACATGAGAAAAATGAAGGGAAAAAGAAGCCAGGCTGTAGCTTCGTGGGAGAGGACTTGATCAACATATATAAGCTGCCCAGCCCCCAACACTGGCAATGATGTTATTAACAGAACATCTGTCTCCTGCAGCTGGAGTTGGATCAGTTGGGGCATATGGATGGTCCAGGTGGTGCAATCCTAGATGAGCTGCGAAAGGATGCAAGCCCCCCATGGATTGACCTAAAGAACCTCATTCTTTATCTCCTTCAAGCCCTAATGGGTAAGAATGGCTTGAGGGCAGCGTGGGAGAGTCCTCCTGTTGGTTCTCAGAGGGCTGTTTCAGAGGCCACCTCCCCGAAGCCCTTGAATTATCATGATCATTCTCACATCACCCTTCTCTCTGATGTCAGCAAGGCTCAGAGTGATAACACTCCATGTACCACAGGTGGAGTGTGAGGTCGAGAATGTGAGCAGTCATGAATCACCTCACACATTCTTGGTGAAAGGTGATTCTTACCCCTGTACTTAGACTTTCAGCTCTGGGTCATGTCACTTATGAGCTGGGAGCTCATCCCAAGGCCAGGAGACATTTCTAGAGCAGTGAGTTTGACATTCCAGTCTAATGGGCTATATTCCTCTGTCTCAGAGTTTTCTTCTCACTGGGTTTCATAGTTCATGGTGAGAAGAAAGATTGAGTCTCTGTCATTGTTTTTCCTCATGTGTTTCCCCTTCTCCCTCTCAGTGCTGAGTGATACCCAACTCGATCTGCTTGCACAGTCTATGGAGAAGAGGCTCCTCCTGCAACAACGAGAGCTGGTAAGAAACCTCCAGGGGCCGGCAGTCCAGGGAGGGGAAAGAGGATAACAGGACAGGAAGAACATTCTAGGAGAAAGCAATAAAGTTTCCACAAGGAGGGGAGCCAGAAACCCTCTGGTGGGCAGGCAGGTTGGGTTTAACTGTCAGAAGCATCTCAGCATTTATGGCAGCCTTGGAAGCAAGGCCCACTAGGTCTAAATTAGCCACCTAGGAAGGCGTCTTTGTAGGAACTAAAGGGATGAGTCATTCATACCTTTCTTTGTATGCAGTTACCATCTGCAAATTGTCTTTTCTCTCCCTATATATTTACCTATAAAAACAAAAGTGTCCTTAGCCGTATGCATACATGTGCGCACACACTCACATGCAGATGGCACTCTTGTGCAGCGAAGGCTTCATCATTCCCATGTGGTAGGTGAGGAACCATTGCACAGTGGCTTCAGGTCTTGCTTAGTTCCTCATCCTCCTGGCTTCTGGCTGTTGGGACAGAAGGTAGGTTTCTCACCCTGATTGGACCACCCCATCTGATAATTTTTTCTTCTAGGTAAGAAGCATCCTACAGCCAAACTTCAAGTATCCCTGGAATATTCCCTTCACTCTCCAGCCACAGCTTCTTGCCCCACTCCAGGGCGAGGGCTTGGCTATTACTTATGAATTGCTGAAAGAGTGTGGTCTGAAGATGGAGCTGAATAATCCCAGGTCAACTTGGGATTTGGAAGCCAAGATGCCCCTGAGTGCCCTTTATGGGAGCTTGTCATTTTTGCAGCAACTTGTGGAAGCATAAATCTTCCCCCAAGCCTGGTCCCGGCCAAGTCTATGCTGAGTCCTTAAGATATTGCACCATGGGATGCACAAGAGTGGTGACTTGAGTGCATCTTATAGGCTGGTGGGAATAAGGCTCTTTTTTTTTTTAAGTTTGCTATCCATTCACAATTATATAAATGATATATTTTGATTATTATTCACCTCCTTCCACTCTTCTTTTTTATTCATCCCCTCCAGGTCCCTCATTCCCAGCAGTTTCTCATTCAACTTTTTTGTTTGATGCTTTGCTGCATTTAATCAAGGTTGTTTTCATGAACGGGATAATTAACTTGAACAGGTGTAACTTTCCAGAGGCTACCTCCTCCTTAGCAGCATTAGCTGCCTACTGTTTTGGGGAGGGTGGGGCCTCATTGGCCACTCCTCTTTCTATGGTGGAACCCTGGCTTGCTTGCTCTTGTGCAGGTAGCCATTGCTACTGTGAGTTTATGGGTTTAGTAGCCATGTCATGTCCTTGCCATGTCCATAGTCTGTCAAAACTCCTCAAGTAGTATGCTAAAGATGTAAACATTTTCTTCTCTATAAAATAATGTAAATGCTATGTTTACTTAATTGTGTGTACTTGGAATTGTTTTGGGTCTAAGGTACTTGTGTCTGTAACTTTAAAATGCATCAGAAATAAATTGGGAATATTTTTAGGTAGATAATTAATGGAATGATTTTTTTAATTACTTTTCACAGCACCCTTACTTATTTTATCCTCCCTATTTCTGTTTATTTGCCTCCCCCTTTCTAATTAGAGCTGCCCCCCCACGTTCTCCATTTCCCCTATCAGATCATGTGTACCCTGATGTTTCCCTCTGTATTGCTCTCTACCTCTCTAGCTCACCCCCTCCGAAATGGTCTTTTTTGCTTTCCTGGTTTCTGTAGTTGCTTCAGGATATGTGCTCACATCTGAGCTAGGAGGCCCAAGTGAGAGAGAACATTCAATGTTTGTCTTTCAGGGTCTGGGTTTGTCACTTAGAATGTGTTTTTTTTTTTTTTTTTTTATTTACCTTCACATGTCATGACTTCATTTTTTTTTTATAGCTGAATAGTATTTTGTAGTGTGCTTCATTGATATATATATATATATATATATATATATATATATATATATATGTACACACACTATTTGGAAATCTTACATCATGTACCCCAATTGTGCTCACCCTCTGTCTTCCCATGTTCACCTTTCTCCTCTGTGCTCCCCCCTCTTCCAAGAAAACAAACAAACAAACAAACAAACAAAACAAGTCCAGTTTGTGTTGTCTATGTATTCACTGGTGCATGAACAAATTTCTAGTGGCAATGCCCCCCCCCCCCCGGGTGATTTTTATTCTACCTGCATCCATGACTGAAGCCTTCAACTGAGGAGAGCCCTGTGGCTGCTAGTGAGGGGCAGGGCTAACTCTCCTGTGTCCATGCTACCACCCCTCTCACTATACTGGGGGCTGGTGAGAGCTGGGGCCATCTCTCCTGTGCAGATGCCACTGCCTGCATCACCATGTTGTGGGCTAAAAAGGTGTGAGACCAACTCTTCTATGTCCCGGCCTCCACTAGTATTGCCCACACTGTGTTAGCCAGTGAGGGGCATGGCTAGCTCTTCAGTAGGGTGGGGAATAGCTCTCCAGCATCCATGGACATTAGCATGGCTTCAGGTGGCAGAAGATTTGCATTTGCTTTAGTGGTAACAAGGGTCACAGATATCAACATAGGCCTTGGCTTATCGGGACCACCAACTCACTAATGGCCCTCAGCAGCTTTATAGGCCACAGGCTTCAACGTGGCCACTCATATCACGATGGCCCCTGAGGCAGCAAAGTCTAGGACATCACATCACCAAGGCACCAGGCAGCAGCACAGACTACATTCATTCACATGGACCTCAGGCTTCATTGAATCCTAGTGCAGCAGCATGGACCACAGTCACCATCATAGTCTCTAGTGGCTTCAAGGACCATGGTTGTTGTTGAGGAGGTCCAATTCAGCAAGACAAACTTTCTTCATCTTGGACTTCTATCCTTGCCCAGAGCCGGGTGGATCCTGCAGTTGGGGAGCAGGTTCAGGAGCTGAGTCTGCATCTGTATAAGCTACAGGCTGCTGCAGTCCACCCCACTGACTCTAATGGGCAGTGACAGCCCTTTTACTTGTCACCTGCCCATCACATCTCTGTCCCATTTCTCTTCATAGTGCATACTGCACTCTGTTTTTCTATGTTTCCCACCTCTACATCATATATTTAACTCTGTCCCAGGGCTGTGGGTCCTGGCCAGTGTTTGCCTGGGTCCGTTTTTATTTCTTATTGTGAATAGAACAGCAAAGAACATGGCAGAACAAGTGTATGTGGAATACAATGCTGAGTTCTTTGGGCATGTGCCAAGAAGTGGAATTTCTGAGCCGTATGGTAGTTCTACTTTTAGCTTTCCGAGAAGTCTCTACCCTGATTTCCATACTGGCTGTACCACTTTGCAGCCCCACCAAATTACTGCAGATGAAGTGGCTTAAATGAAAGATCTATTCCTTTGTAGCTCTGGTCACCGGAAGTCAGGGTGTCACCCTGCACCTTTCAGAGCTTCAGTGAGAACAGCCCCTGCCTCATCCTAATTCCTGCTGTCTGCTGACCATCCTGGAATTTCTTGGCTTGTGGCTACATCATTCTTATTTTGCCTCTATCTTTATGTGTCCTTTTAACTAGAGTCTTGATTTCTGTCTTCCCTCCCTGAAGGACAATGGTCTTTGGGATTTAGATCTCTCTCCAATCCAGGATAACTATGTAATGAATGTATCTACAGAGACTGCATTTCCAAATGTCAAGTTCTGAGTATCAAGATGATGTGGCTTTTCAAACAAACTTTGCTGATGTCAGGGGTCAATGAGAAAACTAGTATCTGAAGGAGCTGCACATGTGAATTTGGCGTGGGTGTGGGCTCTGTCTTAATAAGCATTATATTGCTGTGAAGAGACACCATGGTTATGGCAACCCCTATAAATAAAAGTACTTAATTGGGGCTTGCTTACAATCTCAGAGCCTCAGTCTGATATCTGTTATGGCAGGAAGCATGGTGGAATTCAGATGCACATGATACCTGAGAGTTCTACAATCAGATCTGAGGGCAGCAGGGAGAGACATTAGGTCTGGCTTGAGCTTTTGAAACCTTAAGGTCCCCCCCCCCCCGACCCCCAGTGACACACTTCCTCCAACAAGGCCACACCTCCTAATCCCTCTCAAGTAACGCCATTCCCTAAGGACCAAATATATAATTCTATAGAGGCCATCCCTATTCGAACCATCACGGGCTCCCAGCAGACAGGACCCAGACCATGTTCCACCTACAGTCATTTAGAAAGCAGCTCCTGAAGCACGCAGGTAAAGTTGGAGCTGCTGCAAATCAGGATCGCTGGTGGTCAGTTTTGGATTCCTCGTGGCCCAGGGAAATCTGTTCTTATTTCATCCAAGGAACATTAGAAATCATTAGAGAAGCCGGGTATGGTGGCACAAGCCTGTCATCCCAGCACTCAAGGAGGCAGAGGCGGCTGGATCTCTTTGAGTTCGAGGCCAGCCTGGTCTGCAAAGCTGCTGGGTGCAAATGGACTGGGAGGGACCAGACAGTAAGTAGTAAGTAGTGCATCTGAGCTTCTCTCATTTCCCAGGCTCTTGTGTAGTGTATTTTAAAAAGGTTAGCACTTGGAAAGCAGTGTGCTGGTTAATATTGCTTGCCAACTTGACACACCTGGGAAGAGGCAGCCTCAGTTGACAACCTGCCTCCATCAGATTGGCCTGTAGGCATGTGTGTGGAACAGTTTCCTGATTGCTAATTGAGGTACCCCACTGTGGGCAGGGGCCACTTCTGAGCAGGTGGTCCTTGGTTGTATAAGAAAGCTAGGTGAGCAAGCCAGAGAACAGTGCTCCTCTGTTCTCTCTGCTTCAGATTTTTGCCTTGGCTTTCCTGGTGATGAACTGTAATGAATAAGCCAAATAAACCCTCACTTCAGGACTTCAAAGACAGACTTGGGGTCCGTGCTTTGTTTTTGTTTTCTTTCTAGTGTAGCTATGTTGAGTAAATGTTCTTTTTCTGATTTCTGCTATTAATTTGCCTCATTTAATTCGTTTATTGAAGACAGTTATAAGACATTATGTGTGTCACAGGCTGTGGTCCTGAAGTCTGATAACACTAGACTGTCTTGGAGGCAATTTTAAAAGAAAATTTATGGTTATGTAGGATTGTATCACAGTGGTTGAAAAACTGGCATGATTGTGTTGAAATTCTACTTCTTGCCAGCAGATGGCAGCCTTGTCCAGCAGCAAGGTGCTTGTTGGCACCCGCCCCTCCCCAATCTCCCTTCCCACCCCTTTCATTTCTCTCCCTGTTGGGTTAAGGTGGAATGGGATGGGAGAAACTGGGCAGGAGAGAGGAGCTGTTAACACTGGTCTCTTTTTCCATCTTCAAGTAGGCTCTCCCTCTTAAACACTGCATTGCTTGTATTAGACAGCTCCTTCAAACATTTCTGAAGGGAGAACCTGAGTTATGGGGAACCTGGAACTGTTTTCAATATTTTAGAAAATATGACTTGGTAAGATGTCAGCTGCTTATGCTGGAACTATTCTGGGTTATGTGATAAATCAGATTGTTTCATGCTGAGCAAAGATTGCAGCTAGAAATCTAAACTGCCTTGCTGTAAGTAGGGAAAGATTTCTCAGTGAGCTCAGCCAGCCATAAAACCCTTCTAAAAATCTTGGTCTTAGGACCTTGGTTGATAACTATGAAAGCACGAATGGTAAAAATACCAAGATTCAGTATCTTGGTGGGAAGACTGTTCAAATATTGAAAAACTGCCTCTCATGAGGAAGCTGTAAGGACCTGGCTTAGGGATGGTCAATGGCTAGCTTTGAGACAGGTATTTATTATCTCTCTCTCTCTCTCTATTTATTTTACATCTCAACCATAGGTAGGTAGCCCTCCCTTCTCTCAGTCCCACCCT